ATAAGGCTGCTATGAACATAGTTGAGCATATGTCTTTGTTATATGTTCGAGCATCTTCTGGGTATATGCCTAGGAGTGGTATAGCTGAATCCTCAGGTAATGCTATGTCCAATTTTCTGAGGAACCACCAGACTGATTTCCAAAGTGGTTGTACCATCTTGCAGTCCCACCAACAATGGAGGAGTGTTCCTCTTTCTCCACACCCTTGCCAGCATCTACTATCACCTGAGTTTTTCTTGAGTATAGTGATATAAAACAGTGTTTAACTGGGTTAGTTTTTGCAATGTGCTATATAGCAGGATAGGGCTAAAAGTAGTAGAGCACTTGCATAGTATGTGTCTAGTGTCAATTCCCAGAACTATAAATAAATGAAAAAAAAGTACCATATAGCTAATTTTATAATATTCTAGTTATTGCTTTCAATGAATCTCTTCTTCCCAGTAGTGATTTCTTGATCTTTGGGTACATGAGCCAAAATACAATTCTTTAATTTTTTTTTCATATGATGTCTTTTGGTCACATTCTCTCCTTACCTCTCAACTCCTCCTATATCCTACTCCCTCTCCCTCCTCACTGTACTTTGTTTTTTTCTCTCTTAAAAGTGCGCATGTATGGGTGCATGCACGCGTGCCTGCACACACACACACACACACACACACACACACACACACACACAGCACACACAACACACACAAAACCCTTCCCTTCACAAACTGGTAGTCCAAATTTGTGTTGGCCAACTACTTCTGAGCATGATACATGCAACCTAGGGTGTAGTTGATAAACGGAGTGCTGTTGAATAAAACTTATTTTCCCCTTCTAGAAACTATAAATTGTATATCTTCTTGGCCAGGGGTGGGACTTTGTTTCTGCTTGCCCCTGTCTTACTGAGAATTTGTCTGGCCTGAACGTAATGCAGGTCTTGTGCATGCTGTCACAGTCTCTGTGTGTTCTTATGTGCATCAGCCTTGTTGTGTCTGGAGATGCTATTTCCTTGACGTTGTTTATCACTTCTAGCTCTTAGAATATTTCCAATTCCTCTTCTGCATAGAGCCCTGAGCCTTGACGGGAGGGATATTGATAAAGGTATCCCATTTAGATAGGACCCTCTGAAGCCTTTTACTCTCTTCACATTTTACATTTTGGGCTTCTATATACTCATAACACAGATAGACAGACAGACAGATGTCAATTACTATCGACTGCTAGAAAAAGCTTCTCTGATGTAGGGTCAGTGAGACATTGATCTCTGAGTATAGCAATATAGCATCAGATGTCATCATCATCATACTATTATTATGTTCATTTAGCAGAATAATAGTAGTAGGTTTTCCCCTAGGGCCTGTGTCCTGTCTAGATTCCTGACCTCATTAACAGGGCTGTGGGTCCTGTTTCATGGAGTGGGCTTTAAATCCAACCAAAAGCTGATCAGTTACTCCCATAACATCTGTGCCAATATTGTGCCAGCAAAGTACACTTCTTAATAAGTAGTTGGGCAGAATCATGCCAATTTAAGAATCCTTATATATGCTTACATTCAGGGAAAGATGTGAGGTGGGTCAGTCTTTCTTCTGTGTTAAATCAGAACTCTGGTCCTGTATGTGCTATTTTCTCAGTAGTCTGTGGGAATCAACTCACTTTTGAAACCAGTAGTGGTAGAAATCAACACATAGTAGAAGTTAAAGGCATATGCTCTTTGCCTACTGTTTTTTTTAGAAAGCTGGGTAAGTTGACTTGTACCTATAATTCCCTATTTTCCTCTCAAAAACAAGTAAGCAAATAATCCTCAAACACCCTCTTCCCTCTGGAAAAAAACAAAAACAAGAGGTTTTGGGAGGAGGGACAGGAAGAGGGAACCAGAGAGGAAGCAGAGGGTGATCGAGACTATTTGAGTGTGACTTCTATCTACCCTGTTAGTATTTTGTTGTCCTCCAATTTTGATTCCTCTGTGATAGAACAATGTCTGGTTGTAGTTACCCTGCCTGGGACTTAGGCTGCTTCACCTGCTTGTCTGGGATGCTCTGACAAACCTATTGTTAAGCTCATTGTTTGAGGGTGATTGTGGACAGATGCTCCTAAATATTATTAAATTTCTACATTTATTTAAGCTAGTTGAGTGGGTTTGCTGTCAGTCTTTTTCTTCTCTAGCTTACTCCCCCGCCTCTTCTTTTTCCTTCTCACCTTCTTCTCTCCTTTCCTCGTCTTTGCTCTCTCATCGGTCTTTCTCCTAGTTCTCTCCTCTCCTCCCCTCTTTCTCTCACTTCCTCCCTCCTTTCCCTCTAGAGCAGAGTTGTCAACATTCTCAATGCTGTGACCCTTTAGTGTACTTCCTCATGCTGTGCTGACCCCCAGCCACACATTATTTTTGTTTGTTACTTCATAACTGCAATTTTGCTACTGATATTAATTGTAACAAATATTTTTGGAGATAGAGATTTGCCAAAGGTACCCCAACCTACGTGTTGAGAATCACTGCTCTACAGTCTTATGCGGCCCAGACCAGCCTTAAACTCCTGGTTCTTCTGCCTCAGCCCCAAGTACTGGGATTGCAGATGTGTGCCACCATACTCAATTTTTTAAGTGATCTACTTTGGGACATGTATACATTTATGTATTGACATACAGGATTTATTTACGTTATAGGTATATAGGATTTTTGTGTAAGATGAAGGGGAGAGGGAAGAGCTTTTTTTTTTTTAAATTGAATGTCAGTGTAATGTAGTTTCATTTACATGTGCTATTGCAGAAAAGAATCTGGGGAAATCTTGTTTTTTGAGTTACTGTTAACTTTGAGAAGTTAGTACAGACTGGCTTAAAATTCATTTTCTAGTGGCCTCAAATTTAATCCCTATGTCTTACTCTCCTGAATGCTTGGTGTATATAGGTATGATCTGCCACTCCAAATTTATTTTTTATTTTAAAATAATTGTTAAAAGGCTAGATTTTGCTCGGAAAAACTAACCATTAGATATGAGGTTTTCTGTTGTTATAATTTCATAAAGCCATTTTTTTCAAATCTACATATATGTTCTTACAGTTATTATGACTGTGATTTTCTTTATAATATTTCACTCTGATTTCCTAAGTGAACATTATAACATCAGTCATTTTTGGATAGTTATAGCAATTGAAAAACCATAGCATTTTAGTATTATGGGAAGAATCTATTAACTTTTCTGCCCTGTATATGATGAATCTTTCATTAAGCACAGTCTTCATGTGATTTACTTAGACTATTAATCTGCCCTCTGAAAGTAGATGAATATTTTGAAATCTGGTTAAACTCAGTCGGCCCTTCACAAATGTAGACAAAGAGAACTTGCTCAGCGCTCTTTTCAAAACAATGCCGTGCTGTTAGTAACCTGCCTCATTCTCGTACTCTTTAGCATCTTAACCAATTTGATTTCAGGGCCAACATAAAGAATTAAGGCTTTATATAGTGTCAAAATATTTATTTATTTGTTTGGTATGTGTGTGCATGCACGTGTGCATGTGTGTGTATGTGTGTATGCATGTTTGTCTGTGTCAGTACCTGCCTGATGAACATAGTAGATGCCTCTGGAGGTTAGAAAGGGCATGGAATCCCCTAGAGTAACAGGCTGGGTTACAGCCTGATGTGGGTGCTGAGAACCAAACTCTGGTCCTCCATGAGAGCAACACATGCTCTAATCTGCCACATTGTCTCTCCATCCCCAAGGCCTTATATCTTTATGAGAACATTTTAATAACAATTACATCTTATTCTGTCTTTTCCCCAGCATCTTTTGTTCTTGGTGCAGCACTTGGCTTTATCTTAGTTCCTTCTACTTTCCTGTGTGTTCTTTGGATTGTATGCTGGAGTTCCTGGGTGTTGTAGCCACATTTGCTTTTTCTTTATTGGTATTTCAATGTCAAATGTTATCAGCTTTGCTCTTTGTTCCCAATATCTTCTTTCCTGCTAGACTGAGTCTGTGGGTGAAGGCTTCTAATGTGTTTTTATTTGATTCATTGAGTTGTTAATTTCCAACCTTTCTATTTGCTTTTGTTGTTGTTTCCAGAATCTCAGTTCCTTTGCTGACCTTTTCTTCCATGTTGACCTTTTCATCCATATTGCTGATGATCTAATCCATTTTGTTCATTTTCCACTCAAGGATGCTGACTCCCATTTCTAGTCCTGGACTGAGTTTATCTGTATTTATCTTTGAGCTCACTGATTGTTTTCACCAGCAAACCTTTGAAATTGTCATATAGCACTTTACCCATTTCGGTGCTTGAAGACCTGTGGTCTTTTGGACCAGCCATGTTACCCTGCTTTTTCATGTTCCTTGTGTTCCTGTGTTGTGCTTTGTGCATCTGCTGTTTTGAATGCCTCTTTGAATTTTCTTCAGGATTTTCTACTAAGAAACCTTTTTAGGGTTCAACTCCTTGTAGTCATCCAGAAAAGAGAAAATGTGCTTTTGGATGATGCTTCTATTCCCCACTTGCCTACCCTCCTCCATTTTGTTTGGCTTAGCTCGTTGCTTTTGGGGCATTGCTCATGTTTTTTCTGTACTTCTCAGTGTTGTTATCACTATGTTTTTTTTAAAAATTTCTGAAGCTCCTTCTCCCCTCTCTTTGGAACAGAGTCTATCTTTCCTTATTCTAACTTTTCTTCATTTGGTCTCAAGGAAGCAACTTGGAGTTTATCATCTTTTCTAGAAGTCATTATTAGGGGTATCCATGGGAAGTACTGGGACATGCCTGAGTGAATTCTTTTATCCTTTCTTAACATGCTGATTGCTTCTATGTGATAAAATTTCATGAAGCAACATGGAACTTCTAGTATTCAAGGCTTTTGAGAGTGGGGATGAAAATGTAGATTAAAGTCCTGAGAAGATGGCATCTTGAAGACCCGAGTACCAGCCAGGCATTGCTGTGCATCAGGAGAATAAAGGTCTATTATTTTCCAGTCATATGTTATGACTATCTAGTATTGTCAGCTGCCTTCAGTGTTATAGAAGTTTTTCTTCTCCTTTATTCAGGCAGTTAAACCAGAAAGCAATGACAAAGAAACAGAAGCTACGTATGAAGCTGACATCCCTGAGGAGTGCTGTGGACATCAGCCCCTGCAGCAGTCCCCTAAAGGCTGGAGTGGTCCTGATGTCATTATAGAGGCTCAGTTTGATGACAGCGACTCAGAAGATAGACATGGCAACACCAGTGGGCTGGTTGACGGTGTTAAGAAATTGTCAATTTATACTCCTGACAAAGGTGAGTCTTGGGCATCTGTTTGACATTTTCTTACAGCTCATGATTTGGCTTTTGTTTGTTTGATTTGTTCTTTTGTTTTTTAAGTTGGAACCTCTCTCTGCAACAGAGTAAGAGATTCATAGAATGCTAAGTATGTTTTCAGAGTCTGTGGAGGCTTTTAGGAAGTGGGACATCTGGTTGACTGCTTATAAGTGAGGGAAGGAAGAACCGCCCAGGGGTTTTGGTATTGGTTGGCACTTCCATGTTTGATCAGAGTTATATCAAAGTTTGTGATAGGCTTTGAGTTACAATTGGTAATTGGCTGTAGTGTTTCACCCTGTGGTTGATAAGAGCAGAATTATCCTCTCTTCCTTTTCTTTCCTTTCTTCCATTCCTCCCTCTATGCCTCTCTTCCTTTTCACTTGAGCTATACCTCCAGCCAGAATTAAGCAAGTCTCAAAATCTTTATTTTTTAAAAAAACTTTATTTTACTCTGTTTTGCTTTGTTCAGCATATAATTTCAAAATGTATTTGTTATTTGTGGTAGGCATGATCACTTTGAATTTTGAAAGTAAATTATCTTCAGGAAGCATTTTGACCTCAAGCCAAAAAAAAAAAAAAAAAAAAGCAGTCTTATTTTTCAGAATGGCATGTAGCCATGGCTTTGGTGAAAATATGAAATTGCAAACACATGAATGAAGAGCTGTACCCAAAGGCTCTACCTGGCCACACTCTAGGAAACTTAAGGGCAAGGGATATGCAAGTTGAGTATTGCAGTATCTAGGTTTCCAAGGGATTCTAAATAGGGAAGGTATATTTCCAGCCAGGTTTGAGTTTATATATATGTGGAAATGGAGAAGACCTGGACCTGGCAACATGAACATGGCTAGGCTGATTAGACGGTAAGCATTGTTATCAGGACATTTCTGGCCCAATTAACATGAAACACTAGAAAGAATGCCAAAAGATTACTAAAGGAGAATTTTGAGCAGACAGCCTATGGGTAAGGTCTGGCAAGCACAGCTCAGTACATCCTGAAGCCTGGGCTTATTTCAGGAAGGATTGCCAAAGTATTGGTTTTTCTCCATTGCTTATGACCTTAGCTAGAGAGTAGGCTCTGAAAGCATGTGTCTTTTTGGTGGCAAGTATTACTCATTCAGAGTGACTCCCCAGCCCTTGAAATGTACTTTGAATGAGCAGGCTAGTGTTCTTGCTGTTACTCTTGTCTGCCTTCTTTTCCCAGGTACACTGATGTGAGGGCACCCAGGTTACTCTTGTTTTTTGGTATGCCTAGTTAAACTAGCAATTTCATTCTTCAGGGATCAGGCAGTTGGATGTTTATTTGGACACAATTCCTTGACATTTCTTTCTTCTTGTGTTTCTCCTTTCCTCCTTTATAAGTAGTTGAATATTGTCTTTCTTCTTGGAGTATATGCATGTTTTATTACAACAACATCCATACTAGACATATGTCTTCTTAATGAGAAGAGAAGGGTATAACCAAGACCCTAAATAGCCACATTTTTTATTAACAAGATCACTAAGAAGAAAGGTACTTACACAACAAAATCAAGAAAGGAACACTTTAGAATAAGTTGTTTGTTGGCCAAAGCTACTTAGAAGAAATTCTCTCCTGGTGGCCCAGAAGATCTTAGTATCCTCTTTCCCTGGGCACCAAGTTGAGGGGATGAACATCACTGATACAAATGCAAAGAAATGGCAGATGGAAGCGATTGCAGAATTGATGACTTAGGTTGTCAATGATTTTATCCTTTGTCCTGTGGGAAGTTCTGGAGCCAGGCCTGTGCTTGCTGTGTCATCTGCTGCATTCCCTATCTCTGTCACAGGAGATGCTCGTGGAGTGCTTCACAAGTCCATGGTGGGTCTGCTTGTATTTTTCCTTAGTCTCTTCATGTGTTCCTATTCCACTGCTATTTCCAGCATTTCTACCATTGCTCTCTTAATAGCCGTGACTGAGGGGGCAGCTTTAATCCTTCCTTGGTGTCAGGTGCAGATCCCTCTCTCCAGCTGCCTCTAAATAGAGAGTTTGTGAAGCCATATGGCTGTTTCTCATTTCTTGTTCTCTTGATATTTAAGAAAATCGCAATTTGCTCTTTTAAGAAATCAGAACATTTTTAACGGTATTTCAGCCAGCTTTTCTTGCTTAGGATAATATAAAATCTGGTTATAGTTAGGATGTTAGTACATTTCATATTGTTTAAGGATTTGAAAGTTGTTATTGAAATAAACCATAGCCTTAAGAACATCATAAACTTTCCCTAATACTTCTAGAAAGATTCTTTGCTTTGTATTGTACTTTCAAGTGTATTATTAATCCTAGTTCATGCTTGTGTCCCAAAGTATTATTTTAGGAATCTGGTTTCTTTACATAAAACAAATGCTGTATATGTTGCATGTATATATTCATGTTTCTTCTTCTTAGTTTGGGAAACTTCAGTGTCATCTTGTCTGGTAAGTGAGAATATAGCCCTGATCCAGTTGTTTGTAGCAAGGACTCATTGAATTAGTCAAATGGCCCCTGTATATCTCAGACCCACTAGTTTCTCCCAGGCAGAAAACATGAATATATGTATATATACAAGTATGAATAAATGAGAGAGAAGATGAGCCAAAGACCTGATGCCATTTGAAGATCCAGATCATGGCTTCTTGAAACTGATCTTTTACTGCTCCACAGGCATGGCTTCTTGTCAGCATGGAAAAATCTGTCAGAATGGCTGGGAGTGTAGCTAAATTAAAGAAACACTTGCCCAGGATGCACAAGTCCCTGGATGTAATCCTTAGCACTGTGGAAAAAAAGATATGCCATTGTCTAGATACTGGGGACAGTTTCGTTAAATTTAACTGCTTTTAAATGCATCCGTGGCTTTGAAAAAAAAAAGTTTTGGCGAAGATTGCCTGGTTAGCAAGTTCCAAAGGATAGACGTCTTTGCCAAGTGATATAATAGTGTTGTACCTTTCATTACCTGCAATGGTAAGAGCAACTTTGGCCACAGAATCAGGGGATCATGTGGAGTACATTCCTGTCTTCTGCCTCAGCGGGTCTTCTAGAGGCCTTTTCCCGTTTCCTTGGCTGACTGTCAGTACCTGATAAGTGAACCTAGATTTGGAATGTGAGGTTCCTGACACCCTTGCTTCTGTCTCCCAGCAGGCAGCTTCTATGTCTCCCAAGGGGAGACTCCCTGAGGAATCCTGAATCTTCCCTGAGATTTGAACTGCTCTATTACTGCTCTTCATAGGCTTCCCAAGTCACCAGAACTCTCCCCGCCTATATTCCCTTGTGTTTTCTCTCCTCCTTCTGTTTAGCTTATGAAAGCAGATCCCTGTGATTATTCTGATGTGATTTGTTGAGTTATTGAAACCCCAGCCCTCTTCTCCAAATTGTCTGTCAATCATTTTTCTTTCTCAGATTTGCATTTCTTTTTCCAGATCTTCACTGTACATAATGATAATTAGTACAATTAGAAGACTATTGTATTTGTTTCAGAAATTAGAATAAATATTTCTGAATTATCACAGAGCAGGCATTCAGGTGGCAGTAGCCTAGGGCAGAGCAATGGAGTTTTAGGGAGGTGAACAAGATGTAAGTCTCCCTCTTCTGTAATGAGGGAACTGGATGGAGGTCTTTGAGTAGGTACAGTTTCAGTATGGGAGGGATTTAGCCAGCTAGACTGTGATGAGTCATAGACATGAATGGCTTCGGGTCCTCCATGCCTACTGCTCAGTCTCTGAAAAACGTTCCAGCTTGTGCCACTTTTCTTTGCCATTTGTTTATTCACATAACATTTATGGGAAGATTATGATGGTAGTAATGTTCTGCCATACGCAGCTCTCTTGTTTATTGGTACATCATGAGATCATGCTGGCTATTCTTCCCATTCCCCACAACACCCTCCCCCCCCCTTTAAATCTAAGAGTCATTCTGGTCTGCTTGCCTATTTCTGACAGAGAATACCTGAGGTCTGAGGGCTTGGGTGGTAGTGCACTTTTCTAGCATTTTAAGTAATTGATTGGATAAAATTTGTTCTATCTGGGGTCCCCTAAACATACCTGGGAGTAGGTATGCTTGTTGGCAGTTTTACTTGCACTTTTAGTACATGATTATTATAACTGAGACTTAAAACTAAACACTTTGTCACAAACATTGTTCCTGCCATTGCCTGCAGACAGGGTCGCCAGTCCTCTAGCATGCCAGTCCTCTAGCATTCTCAGTCAGGAGCAAACAAGCAGAGGCAAAGGCACTAAGATGCTTCTTGTTTTCTCTATAGCTGTTCTGCTCCCAGTGGCCATTCCACTGAATGAACTGAAACCTGCAAGTTCCCTGGCAGCTCCCTCCTTTGGGCTCTTCTAACACTCTTCTCAATATGATGCTCTGTGGCTGCTTGCTTGCTGTGCTCTTTTAGCTTCCTTCTCGGCTCCTTATTATAGCTTCCTTCTCGGCTCCTTATTATAGCTTCCTTCTCGGCTCCTTATTATAGCTTCCTTCTCGGCTCCTTATTATAGCTTCCTTCTCGGCTCCTTATTATAGCTTGCTTGCTGTGCTCTTTTAGCTTCCTTCTCGGCTCCTTATTTTATAATCCTGAGCTCCTTGGCAATGAGACAGGAAGAACACTTTCCTTCTCCTTCTCTCCCTCCTATGCTCACTAGACTTCAGCCCTCCTCCTCCCATTCTTTTCTCCTTATCCACCTATAGACCTCTCTTTCTCTCTCTGGTCTACTCAGAATCATGCCAGTTCATTGTCATGACAGCAAGTGGACCAGTTGTCATATCCGCTGGCACATACATTATGTTACCTTAGAACTCATAGATGCACCAGTGAGATAGCTCTTTGGTGAAGGCATTTGCTACCAAATATGGCAGATCTCTGGGACCCACATGGTGGAATGAGAGAGTCAACTTCTATAAGCTGTTTTCTGACCTCTACATGCACACTGTGGCCTATGCATGAATGGATACACACACACACACACACACACACACACACACACACACACACACA